TCAGGTGTTACCTTGAGTTCCTTCTGTGTTTACTGGAGGAGGAAAAGCTCAGAGATAGTGTTTGAGCAGACAGCCTCAGACTCTCACTGTCAGAAATCTGCTCTGAAAAACTGACAGAGCTTTAGAAGGACTTTAAAAACAAACCATACCTGCCAACAGGAGAGGAGGATTTCACTGTGCCAAGAAAAAAGTAAAAATGTCAGAATGAAAGATCTCACAGATCTCTCGAATCAAACGTCTATGCTCGAAAATAACACTGGCTGTATGAAATGATAAATGTGTCCTCTGAGCTGATACTTGTTCTGTTTTCACTCTGTCTTTAGGAAGACACGACGGCTGTGATGAAGTTTATTATAAAAAAATAAAACTGTTGAGTTTATTTCATCATCAGTGTGTGTACAAATGAAAAAGAACCCCACATCTAACAAAGCAGCTTTTCTTGTTCGTGTTAATCACACAGTTAAATCTTTAAATGTTTTGTTCAGAACGGGTTGCGGCCACTAACAGTACTAGTAATTGTGCATAAATCATACCACCTGAATGAAAAAGTACAAACCAGACAAGAAGATCTGCAACTCTGTGCAGTTTGCTCTTGTCTTGTGTCTGATTGTGAGGATGAGCGGTCAGCATCTCCTCTCTCTGCTGCACAGAGCTAGACTGTGCACTCTAATCCTGATAGAGCTGATTTTTTTTCCTGCAAAGACGATGAGCTGAATGAGGAAGAGATTAGTTTACTGCTAAGAAAATTCATACATGTTTAACAAAGCTATTGAGCAGATATGTTTGGGAATTTTAGGGGTTGATCTGGATCTGTTTGTGTTAAGAGTATAGGGTATGTTTAAGTAAAATTAACACATTTTATGCACAGGTTAATTATTTTTGAAATAATATCTTCAAGATCAAAAAATATATAATCATCCTTAAATTATGTGCTCCGACCTCAGCAGAAGTTGCTTAGAAGAGCTTTATTTGGTTTGTTATGAGCTTCAGACACTGAGTTAATGTTTTCAATATTTTAATAAGTTTTGTTTTTCATTGAAAAAAAAATAAATAAATCAGCCGAACGCTTTTACAGCGCATACACACCACCTGTGGTGTTAAAAGTGTGTGTGCATGTCTGTGTGTGTGTGTGTCCTGCCGATATCAAAGATAACCAGCTGTCACTCAGGCCGTCACATCGCGGCAGGGACGTGGCGTCCGACTGTGACACATGTCAGTGACGGCTTACAGGAAGCAGCTGTGAGTCTGCGGTCTGATGTCCTGACAGGCAGACAGACGCACAGCGGATACACACACACACACACACACAGACGCACACATACACACATTGTATGACACAATATAAAAACATTGAAAAAGAAGATAGATCCTTAAACTCTCTTGCTCCCATTTGCTCCCTCTTTGTTGTCATCACTTCACTTGTCATCACCAAGTTGGACCCTGACTCCTCCTCTCCTCTCCTCTCCTCTCCTCTCCTCGCTTGCCTCTCCTCTCCTCGCCTCTCTTCTCCTACTGTCTCTGTGTTGACAGGGTTCATGTTGTTATATCGAGCCCAGTGAGGGGTCATTAAAATTCAACAACACGCACACAAACTTAAAAGCTAAAAAACACTAACCAGCAGCTCTTGCTTTCATTCTTTTTTTCTTTTTCACTTTCTTTCAAACCATCAGTAAAGAAATCTGGACGATCTCTGTGTGTGGTCTTAAAACAACAGAGCGCTGCCTGAATAAGTCTAATGTTTGAGCAGTAAAATAAAACCGTCCCCTGTTCTGATTGTCTCACATAAAGCAAAATGCCTGAGAATTAAAGAATATTCTCTCTAATTACTCCTCTTACAATCAGGGTCCATGGATATTGGAAGTGTGTGTGCATGATTTGTTTACTCTTAGGAAGGAGTAATTCATCGTCTGTGTGATCATAGACAACAACTCGCTATAACTAGTTACTAGTTACTCAGTTTGCTAGTGACAGAGTTCGTTTTGGAGAGGCAGAGAAATGTTTTTTTCTTCTTTTTTCTACATCATACAGGGCTCCTACACAGTTTCGAATTTCCATACCCTACTTTTTAGAATTATTTTGGGAAATACCCTCTTTTCTATTTTAGAAAGCAGTATTTTCCTTTTCTTACTTTGGTAATAGTATGGAATCCTAAATATTTCTCCATACTTTATTTTTCATTTACCATACTGCTCAAGACCTGGAAATTGATTACTTCCATACTTTTTCATACTTTCCATACTTGTGTAGGAACCCTGATCATAATACAGGGGATTTATGGGAGAATACTGATACAGGAAGATGGCGGACAAGAGTAGTAAAATACGGTAGCTTCCTGGCAGAAACATAATATTTGACTGCTATGAGCTTGACACGTTGGTTACAGGATGGATTGGCATAAACTTGCACACATGTCGAAGCATGTGCATGAATCTGGTGCTCATTTTTAGTGCTGATAACTTTTATGTTTAAATCTATATAAATATAGTTTTTTTGTTGTTTTGTGACTGAAACCCAGCTTCAGCAAAGTACCCACAACAAGATAATCAGGCCATAAAATGTTTCTTTGTTTATTTTGGTTTTCATGTCCTACCTTGTCCTCTGTCACTGTGCTTTATCAAACTCACTATTATCATATTTATCACCAGTGTATAACATAGATTTAGTACAAAACTGTAAACAACCTTCCAGTTTAATTTGCAGTTCAAGAAATCCAAATAGTCTCTGTGTATCTAAAGAATCTAAAATCAGGGTTTGTCTGCTCCCTCTGTGTATAAAGGTGTTTCTTCATGACTTTCTTCTCTGTCCATTGTAAATCAAAGCTCTGTGGTTTTCTCTGAGAAGCAGTAGCAGACCTGACCCCAGCTGCAGGACACATTCCACATCTATTAGCAAACCGCCTTTTTAATGGTTGGAGTGGCCTCCTAAACGCCTGATTAATTGCTCTCCTGCTCTTGTGCTAATGCAGTGAATGGACTTAGATAGTGTTAGTGTGCAGCTTTTCAGCATCTCATCCATCTCAGCTGCATATGAATCTGCTCGCTCTGCATACATGCATGTTTGCACACTTTTCTTTGATGTAAATCTTTCTGCTTTGTTTGCAGAGTAGCTCGTCCCTCGGCGTCTCGCTCCCTTTACCAGTAATTCCTTGGGTTCCTCGGGTTTATGATGTGCATGCGTCGGCCTGTCTGAAGCTCCTCGGATAGTTTTCGCCGCTCTTTGATCAGGGAGGCAGAGCTGCTCAGTCAACAAAATCGGCATCTTTAAAGGAACAATCGGCCGTCTCTGCTCCGCCCTCACCTCCTGCAGTTGCACACACAGCTGGATGTTGGAGGTGTGCTGTACCGTAGCGGTATGACATCTGCTGCTGACTGAGGGCTTAAACTGCTGCACACACACACACACACACACACACACACACACACACACACACACACACACACACACACACACACACACACACACTCGCACACTCTCTGGCTGGTCTAGACGTTGACTTCTAAACCTCATTTTAACACAGAGTCAGATATTGATGCAGACGTCTGCATTCAAACAGACTGGAGGAGAGTACAGTCGATGCAGAGGGCACAAAAGCTTTCTTTGGGTTATTACATTCATACATTGAGGAGCCATGCAAAAAACATGAATCCTGAACAAGAGGAAGAGGTGTACCGCACCAGATTTAGCTGTGAGCTGCTTTTATTTTGCAGAGCTAATGAATTTTCTAGAGACGTGCAGCCAGGAGCCACAGAAAACCAGGATGGATGAATGTGCAAACAATAAAACATATGCATAGATGCAGGCGAGTCTACGTGTGTGTTCTGATCTGAAGAGTGTGTTTGTGTGTGCATGAGTTTCCATGTGACAGAGAGTGTTTTTGCTGCTGGGTTTTTGTGTGAACGGCGGGTTTGGGAATCACTTAACTTCTGTCAGTAGATGTTACATCTCTCTCAGCCGCAGGGACAGAAAAGGAGGAGGAGGAGGAGGGAGAAGGTTACACCAGAACTGAGAGGAAAACTGCATAAAATTTGACTCATAAACTCTCACTTTTGAGTTAATTTAGATCCTTTTTACTCTTTTTTTCATGCAAACATGCACACATCGTAAAATCTACGAGAAAACTTCAAGATTATCAGCCACTTCAGATGCCTTAATTTCTGCAGCATGGTCATGGCAGTCATTAAAACACACTCAAATGGGTTTAGGATTCAAGGATTTTAAGGAATAAAACCATTTACAGCTCTGAGGGTTGGGGGCTGAAAGTTTTGTTGTTTTTCTTGTAAAAAAAAAAAAAAAAAAAAGTAAGTTTCTTTTTCTCGAGTTATAGATCATTCATATTCCCAAAGTTAAATCACAGAAAAGACTTTGAATTTGCATCCTTAGTGCCGAGGAATATCCACAGAGCGGCAGTTTTGGAGATGTTCTGTCAATACATCAAATAAGGATAAAATTATTAACGTAAACCTCTGACAGGCGTCATGTGAAGGAGATAATCAGTGTGATTCACTTCACCTGCAGTGGCTGTAATTCTATAGATACATGTTTCATTGCATGCTTTCCACAGCAGAGAAAAAGCAGACAGAGGAGTAAAATAAGGACCACAAGGATGTAAAAGAGAGAGGAATAAAAGTCTGAATAAATACAAATAAGAAGACTCAGATCAGTGAAATAAAGCCACTTTTTGAAAAACACGGGTGTTACAGAGTCAGTGATTCTGTGATCTTCCTCACCTCAGGCAGATTTTTCTCAAAGCACAGTTACCTTTTAGATTCTTATCTCTGAAAGTGAGCACACTTCTTCCCAAACATTTCCTGACAGGCAGAGCCTCGTTTGTCTGTTTTTCTTTTGCATCATTTCATCTTGAAAGTGCAACAAGAGTTGAGAGGTTTGGCCTTTTTATCACCTCTGAGCACATCTAAACGCTCCTCTCTGTTCTGTCTCCATCACACTGGATTCGTGTCATGTTTTCAGGGAACTGCAGCTTTTGGCTGACAAACACGGACATGCTGCACCTCGCTGCGTGGGTTTGTGCGTCCTGGAGCGTGATGGAGACACATAAACACATCAAGGCGGCCATCTTTCCCCCTAGTGTCACTGTGCCTCCCCCACAACGGCTCGAGTCTGAATCTACATCCTCCTACTTTCATTTTGAAAGGTCAGAGCTCATCATCGTGTCAGAAGGAGTTTATTCATCCTGTTCGCTCGCTGACGTCATTCTCACCACGCCGGCTGTCAAAGCAGCTGAATGTTGTGTCACAATCGCAGCTTCAGGACTTCTTCACCCCTCCTCTCTGGATGCACAGACTCCCCAATCTCCCTCTGGATGTTTCATCATCATCATCTTCCTTTCTTTCACATAAATATTTCCACGCACACCCGCAGACACAGATTCCCTCTTTGTTCATGTTGCTTGCAGGTGAGAAGAAGAAAGCATGTGATGAGATTTCCTTAAATCCAGCCATTATCTCCTCTCCGAGCTCAGCCTTTCTGCCTCTGCTGCCTCTTATCTGATTGCACACTGAAATTCCTTGAAGCAGCCTGTGCAAATTGGTTTGCCAGACTCTGCCGTGCACATGAAGAAGAAACTGAGGCATCTGCAGCAATTAACATCACCTCTTTACACCGACTACTTAACATCCTTTCACCCTCTTCTTCCTCTATTTCTTCTCTCTGTGGACTCTCCCACTCTTTTCCATTTCCTCACCAAAACACAAGTCTTTGAATTTCTCCGTCTGCACACGCTCAGACGCTTGTTACAGAGCCGCTGGTGTCAGCGTGCATTAAACAGGTCAGACTGAGAGCGCAGAGATGTGGGCTAATTTGCGGCACTAAACCAAACGAACATAAATGTTTTTGCCAAATAGCCCAAAGCTAGAGTCAAGCCAGATTAGAGGAGGGGGGCTGCGATCTTAAAATGAAGCTTGCTGTCAGACGTCTTACACCAAAAGCGGGAATATTACGAGCCAGAAGATGCAGCTTGGCGTACCTGACCTTTAATTACCCGTCTTGTAAAAACCTGGTTTGAAATTAACGGTTTGTGGTTGCTGGCAGCTGTGATGGCGATCATTAATTCTTGTCTGCTTGGCCGCCGTGGTCCTTAAAGTGGGGGCTGAGATGAGATGGAGTATCGAGCTTCCAGTCTGGCTCTGCAGCCAATTAGAGCGACAGCAGCTCGTCACTGTGGCCCAGTGGAGCGTGGATCTGGTTCTGTCCAGACCCGACCCTGCTGCTGAACCGATCGCTGCTTTACAGACCTGACACATCTGGGGGTCCACAGAGTCCCAGTGTGCCACCATGCAGAAAGATTTGTTCCCAGTTTTCTTTCAGTGGTATTTGCTCTAAATCACTCCACAGAAAAAGCCTTAGGTCAGAATGATGAATCCGAAAGACTCAACTGGTTTTATGTGGACTCAGCGTGCAGTGGGATTTATTAAAGGTCCCCTATTATGAAAAATCCACTTTTGGGTGGTTTTCTACCAATAATATGCATCCCCTCGAAGCTGAGCTCCCCCACCGGCATGAAAAAAATTCTTTCCTTACTTTCTGAAAACATGAGCGCAAACAGGCGAGTGCAGTCATGACGACATAACAGCATAAGCTCCCTCCTAGAAGATGGAAACAGAGACGGATGGAGCATTTTGTCTATCCTATCCTATCATTCTGTCTGTCTTTTCGCACAAAGCAGGGGACGTTACGGACAGACGAAAGCCAAACGATGTTAGTCACGAGAGATAACTATAGCATTCCACTTTTCAAAATATTGGGTATTTACCAAATGAGCTTCAAATAACGACAAGACAGTGAAGATGTTGCCGTCAGATAAGCCAACCCACCTAGCAATGTAACATAACACACTAACAAAGTAAAAAGACAAATATAAAGACACAAAGTTGTAACCAACCATTCAAAAATGTCCTGTTGCAGCCGCAGAGTTTGGCTTTCTTTGGGAGCCTTTCTGTCTGGGTCAGATTCTGGGTCAAACTGGAAGGGTTGAACCACAGCGCTTCTATAAACCACCATACTGCACAGGCCATACACATTAGCAAATGGTATCGCATGGAGTGAAAGCCGCAGCCCCTTCCAGAGAGGGGCGTGGTTACACACAGCTCATTATCATTTAAAGGTACAGGCGCAGAATCAGCCCGTTCTCAGTGGAGCTCAAAAAGAGGGGGGTACAGGCTGGCTGATATCCACAAATAAACTGATGTTTTAGACAACAAACTTCAAATTTACTATTGTGGGACCTCTGGGACCAGTTTAAATTTGTTGAAAAATGCCATAATAGGAGACCTTTAAGGAACAGATAGGAGCAGATGCACACCCCCATTATACACCTGTGAATATACAGACTTCGGTAAAACATGCAATTTGATGTCTAAAAGTCAGAATCAGAGCCTCGATTGACTGGAAGGTTTGACAGAGTAAAAGCTTTAAGCTCCTACATGCTTAACAGGACATACCTTTAAGTCCACTGCCTGTGTGTGGACACTAAGACGAGGCTTTAGCGTGGTCCCATATGTGTGTTTATATGTGTGTTTGTGTGTCTGAGGGTTTGTAGAGTTCAGGGGAGGCCCAACACGGCTTTTCTATCAGCCCGACAAAGTGTGCTGATCACCCTGAGTCAACAGAAGCTAATACAGCCGGGGTTAACCACAAATCCCCGCGCTGTTAGAGAGGCAGAGAGAGGAAGTTAGAGACAGACTTACAAAAAGGCTACAGTAAGAAAGAGAGGAGGAGAAAGGGACAAAGAGGAGGAGGAGGCGGCTGTAAAGAGTTTTGAAATGCCAGCGTGAAGTGAGCAAATGGTAAACTGACTCACATTTAAGTCTGCTTTATTGATGCGCTGGATTTGAGGAGCTGGCAGATGTGAGTTTCCTTTCAACCTGCAGCAGTGGCGGCGGATCACAGGCCCAGACTCCCCGGAGAGCTACACTTTACCAAACACACCACTCAGACATGGATCGAAATGGAATATGAAGGATTTTTTATCCCTGAACAAAACGGCGTTTTGAAATAAATGTCTGTGTGTGTCTCTAACTGTGTGAGGAGTATAGGTCAGCAGCTTCAGAGACACCCACCATATTACTATCAGAGTCACCTGACATCAAACACACACTCACCCCCATGCATTAAAGCCTGAATTATACATCACAGGTCTGTACACGAGTCACTCATTTCTGTCTCTGACCTGAGTGTGCAGTGGTTTTTTTGTTGTAGAGCAGCTGGTAGAGAGAGGTGCTGGGCCTGCAGCAGCAGAGGATGATTCCTTTTTTTCAGTGTGTGTGTGTGTGTGTGTGTGTGTGTGTGTGTGTGTGTGTGTGTGTGTGTGTGTGTGTGTGTGTGTGTGTGTGTGTGTGCGTGTGTGTGTGTGTGTGTGTGAGTGTGTGTGTGCTGTCACAGCATGCAGGGACTCCCACCCCCTCAATTACAGGCTCACATTGACGGCCAGCCTCTCTCCTCATCAGCCAGCAAACCCACCCAGTCATCAAGTTCTCCACCCCCAACCCAGCCCAGACAACCCTGTTATACCTGCAGCACTAAACCTTTAGCACTGACTGTATAGAGATAGATAACATGTCTCTACCTCCTCCTGTTAGCAAAAATGAATGCAAATCGGCCCCACAATGAGTGCTGACATTTTGCATGTCTAGAACCAGAGTGTGCTGTGGAGAGAGCAGCTGTGGAGCTGTAATACTACATCCTCTTATCCTTACAACCGCACATTGCACTTTTTGATTAATATCGTCATTACTAAAAACACTTAACTCAGTTTACTTAGTGTTCTTGTTGCAACTACCTTGTTAGTATGTGGCTTAGCTGAGGTCTGTGCACAAAGTCAGCAGTCAGAAAACCAGAAAAAAGTGCATTTATGCCACAATATTCATTTTACTGTCGGGATTTTCCAAGAAGCAAAGTCTGAAATCAGGATATGGTGTTTGTATGCACATAAACAAAAACAGAGTTCTTGGAGAACTGGATTAAAACAAGGATGATAAAGTCTGTTTAAAAACACTCAGTGAGACATGCTGCGTTTGAGTTGTACTTGAAAGTCGGAATTTCCGAGCTCCAAGTCGGAAATTGATCTGGAATGCCTTCCTGAAATCGGATTTCCGACTCAGAAAGTCAGATGATTCTCACCAACCCTGACTTGACGATGTCATAATCCAAGATGGCAGTGCAGTGCATCAACAGTAAAGAGTAACAGCTCTCCTAATGTATTATTTATCAGCACTTTTGTTTTGTTTTTGTGAAATTAAATAAGTGGTATATGTTATACTGCCCAACGTCTAACTGTTAACACGTTGCTATGGTGTTTGTAAGAGTAAAATGCTGTGTTGTGTGTTGTTTACAACTGGTATAGCTAACAAAAACTAACAACAGCTGACAACCGCTAACAATGACTGACAATGGCTAACGACAGCTGACAGTTGTACACAACGACTGACAATGGCTAACAGTAGGCGTCCATCTTGGTTTTCCGACTTGTTTACTGAAACACCATCAACTCGGGTGTAACGTCATTCCCAGCTCCGACATTCAACTTCTGAGGTAACTCGAATGCAGCATTTAACCAGAATAGCTTCTCAGGCCGATGACGCTTTAAGATACTGAAATAGATTCAAGATCAGGGAACATGGAGAGGGTTGCATATCTCTAAAACTGATCAGGATTATCTGATAACATACAAGGACGTTTAAGACTCAAGACCTTACTTAAATGCAAACCAATTTTATAAAATCAAAGTAAGAAGATTTGGTCAAAAATCACTGAATTTTACAACTCGATCAACTATTTCAAAAAGTCGACTGACAGTTGACAGAGATTCACATAAAGTTAAAATCATTTTGCTAATATAAAGAGACACAAACATCTAAACTCTCCCTCTCTGCTGTGACACTTTCTTGTGATGATTGAAGATTTTATGGTTTTGAAAAAAGCATCTTAATTCAACCGCATGTGTCGCTGTGAAAATCTAAGGTTGATTCTATTACGCAGATTGAAGCGTGGCGCAGTCTTAAAGGAAAATTACACACCTGAGCAGATCAGAAGAATTGAGGGTGTCTGTAAATTGAAAGACGGAGCATGTTTGTTGCTGCTGGTGTGTTTTTGACAGCTGACGGAATCACCTCCCACACGGTTCAGGAGGAGTGTTTGGATTTTAAGCCTCCTGCTGAGATGTTCACATGTTCAACTTTGTGTCAGTGAGCAGAAACAGACAGGAGGAACACGCAGCCGCCTTCAGACCTTCAGGACTTCCAGCTCACACAGTTAGTGACCAAATGTAACCCCCCTGACCTGCAGCAGATCCTGCAGGATGTATCGATCATGTTGTGTGAGCTGAGCCTGAGGGAATCTGGAC